CTTTCCCTCGTCCGTGCCTCTTCTGTGTGAGCATTCTGCCAGTGCAAACCTTGTCCCGTTTATGAAATTATTGTTGGCCGCCACATCCTAGACCACCCACAGTAGGCCTCTAACAATCTGGGTTTTTAAGCCTTGATGCCATTTGAAACTTACCCAGAGTCCAACTACCGACTGGACAGTGTAAAAAAATATTCAAAATTAACTATAACAAGGCTTCCTTTATAGTTTCTAGTCCATGAGCCACTAGGCCCACGAGGCATGAACATGTAACTGTATAGTTGGAGAAGTAATATGTATAAAGCTCCAACATAGCACACATCGTGTAGGTTAGTGTGGCTTCGGAGGTGGTAAGAGAATGCATATCTGTGGGTGAGTTCATTCTTTTTATCATAAAAACCTGATTTCAAGCTTTTATTTCTTGTCACCTTTTATTAACTGATCTTTTAAAGAAGACTGGATTCTAGTGGTTTCTTTTAAAAACAAGAAACATTTTTACTTTTGGGTAATTTAATTTAGTTTCTCATAAAATAAATTGAAGTTTTGTCTTCTGTGAAGCAGAGAACTTCTAGTAAATCTCTGCATTGTTATTCTGAGCTTTATTGTGTCATCTGGAGTATTCTGGAATTCTCCTTTCTTCATTTGCTTTAATAGAATTTGAAGAGGGCTGGGAACTGTGAGCTGGGTCTTGTCTTGCTTTAGGCATTTGCTTTCTTTTGCCATAAAAAGAAAACATGCCAAATTAGCATTAGGAGGAAAGTGCCTGGAGGAGATCCAATGCTCATGAAATAAAGGATATGTTTTGCCTCTGATTTGGTTCAACAAGTAAAATTGGTTTTACTGCGTCAATAAACTCTGAGGGTTATAAGCATCTGGTAGAGTTTAAGGTTTCTGTAAGCTAGGTACATTTAGGGCGAATGGTAAAGATGAATGCCAAGATTTAAGGGCACCTCAAAAGACTTCGCTCAAATGGTTTTATCGAGGATGGGCAATGATGTGTTGCTTATTTGTTCCAAGTGTGGCCCTTAGAAGCAACAAGATACAAAATCCAGAGAACACCCCGGAAATATCCAAACTCACATAGACATCCAAGATCTCATTAGTGGGACCTTCGGCCAAAAAGGACTCTCCAGCAGTACTAGAAATCTCATTTGGACGCTTGTAGGTGAACATTGTCCCTCCGCCCTCGTATTTTCCAGGCCGGTCAATTGCCCAGTTCCCGTTGATGATGGAGCGGCCAGAACGACTTCGCAAGGCTGTCGAGAAAAATGAGACAGTTTCTCAGGTAAGCCCAGGGTGTGCACAAAAGTCTGAACTGACACCCTTTGCCCCAGTTGCTGGCTTATTTATTCATCAAGTTTTTCATTAGGATCCACTGTGTGCCAGGTGCTGATCTAGGCCGTGGGGCAGGATAAAAACTGGCTTAATCACTTCTTCAACCCATTTAGATCCCTTCCACCACTTGGACATAGAAATGAGGGGTGAGAATGGTTAGGTGAGAAGGATGTGGAAAATGATGGGGAAAGGAGAAAGTTAGAGGAGGAAGATAAAAGCGGGGGAGGGGAAATGATATTATATCGCATTATCTAGGTGAGAGGTTGCACATTGGCAGCTCACGAGCTGATTTTGGCCCGCAGATGGGCTTAGTTTGGCCTTCGTAGTGTTTTTTAAAAAGTATAATTGAAAGTAAATTTAAGAATTGAGAGATTTCACATAAAAAATTTAGAGTTCTAGCTTGTCTTGTAAAACAAGAAGACATGTTAACATTGGCTCCATTCCCTCAAGGCAGCACTCAGTTGGTGCTGTGGAGGACAGGCATCTTTCAGTTGGGGCCTGCATGCTCTGGTTTGCCCTAATCCCCACCACTCCCTAATACTTCCCAACACTGAGGCTAAGTCTCAGTTTTTTACCCATTTATTAATGAATATGAGTTATTTATTTTGTGATCATGCTCGCATTGCTTTTTTCTTATAACTTTTCTACTTGTACGTCTCCTCAAAGTGGCAAAGCTAAAGATAGGCCAAGAGGTTTTACATGATTTTCTCCTGCCTGATCAGCTTCATTTATTTATAATCACCTCCCTGACTTCTGTGGGCATATTCAATCCATCATTTAAACTATGTGAGGTACTTCCACATACACTGTCAAAATTAATCCTGGCAACATTGCTAAGCAGATGCATAGCCTCGTCTTTCAGGGGCCAGAGGGAATTTGTTCAAATTCACTAGGATGGTAAGTGGAGTCCACACTCAGAAGGGAGGTAAGAAACCAGGATTGGAGTTACTGAGAGAAGAAAGGGCAGTACGTGAGAGCAGACTTTCTTCCCTTAGACATGTGGCATCTTGAAACTCACAAGCCAATGGCAGCTTGGGTTAAAGGAGATCCTGTTTTTAAGTGCCATATACATAGCGGGCCCCATGATGGTCACTGGCTCTGTGAACTTTCACTTTACAGAGTTCCTAAATTTATTTTTTTACAATGCATTGTGGAAAAATTTATACACAAACAAAAGTAGTGAGAATAATATAACCTCCTCCAGGTACCCATTCCCCAGCTTCAACAATGATCAACTCATGGCTTATCTTGTTTCACTTTACAATTCCCAGACACCATTTATCCTTACATTTTTCAGTAGGTGTCTCTAAAACATAAGGACTCTTGGTTTATTAAACCCATTTTCAACAGTGATTCTACAACGGGCCTTCCCAGGCCTGCAGAGTCAGAGGCTGCTCGAAGGGGTGGATGAGCCTCCAGTTTCAAGGTGGCCTCTCCTGCGGACACTACCCTTGGCTGGCTGGTTACCATGGCTACCAAGAAACACAGCTGTGGAACACTGATTACCGAATTATAAAATAAATTCAGCTTACTGAGTGGCCAAGGAGGTCAAGAATAGAGACTCAGGAAAAACAGGTTTGGGTCTATTTTCCAGGAAAAATCACACTTCTCGAGAGTGGTCCATACAGTGTTTTCACTTCCTCGCTTCCCGTTCATTCCTCAACTGTCTCTTATTTGACTGCTGCCTCCATTATTCCATTAAAAGAATTCAAATTAATGTCCTCAAGACCACAATGTTGCTAAACCCAATGGGCATTTCCCAGGCCTCTTACTAGACATTTCAGCAGCATCTGACACGACTGACCACTCCATCTTACCTGAAACATTCTTTCACTGGTTTCTGGATACCGCACTTGACTTGCTTTTCACTTGCTCCCAGGCTTCTCTTTTATTTTCTATCTCATCTTTCCTACTTGGCTACTAAATATTAGCATCTTTTAAGGACTAAGAGTAGATGTGATTTCGGTGCTGTATTTCTTTCACGGGCCATTTTGCCTATGCCTATGGCTTTAATTACTATACCAGTAACTTCCAAATTTATGTTTCTAGTCGGGACTTTTCCTCTGGTCTCATACTTTTATTTCTAATTGCTTACTTGACAGCTTCACTCAGATGCGTTGTCTAAGATTGAACTCATCCCTGACCTCTTCCAGTGTTTCTTATTTCGGTAAATGGTACTACCATCCATCTATTTAGAAATGCAAGAATCATCCTGGACACCTCCTCTCTTCTTAATCCCCTATATTCAATCCATCATCAAATTTTAATTGACCTTCTCTATATTTGAACTCATCTGCTTCTTTTCATGTCCAGTGCTATAATCAAGGGCCAATCTACCATCAGAGCTCATCTGGACTAGCTCAAAAGCCTTTTAATTGGTCTTCCTGTTTCCCTTCTTTTCGGCCAGAGTGATCTTTTCACTTTGGTAGATTTGCTTACCAACTAAGGCTCAGAATCCATCAATGGCTGTTTATTTCTCTAGGGGAAAAAACTCCTAATCATTAATGGGGCTAGGGCCCCAGGTGATGTGATCCAGTCTCACCTTGTGTCACTGTCCTTCTCTCTGTGCTCTGCTCTGGCCTTTTTTTTAGCTCATCGAATACATTGCGTTCCCTCCATAATATTGTTCCTTCTTCCAGAAGTGCTTCCCCTAACCCCCAATCCTATTTGTTCTTTAGATGTCAGCTCCTCAGGGCAGTCTTCTCCCAACCCCCGGTCCAGGCCTGTCACTTCTCTCATGTGCTCTAAGACATGCAAGAGCCTTTCCTTCAAGATACTTAACTCAGTTTGTACATACACCCATTCAGAGCATGATTTATGTCTGTTACCCAGTACACTGTAAGCTCCAAAAGGGCAAAGACAGTGGTGTTTCCTCACTGTTATAGCTCTAGAGACCAGCATAGTGTTTGCCACATACTAGACACTTCATTATTCGCTGAATGAAAAAAAAAACATGTAGTAAAAAAAGGCAGCAGCTCAAAGAAGGACAGGCAAAGAATGATAAATAGGCAATTCACAGAAAACCAAGTATAAATATCCCATTAGCAAATAATAATATGCTCTACCTTCCTTGTAATTTAAGAAATGCAAACAAAACCACAATGGAATATTCTTGACCCACCAGGTTGGCAAATGTTTTAAAAGTGTTAATGCTGCCGGAATTGACAGGTGTATGAATAAGCAAGAACCCAAAATGTTGTTGGTGGGAACGTAAACTGATTCAACCATATTGAAGGGCAGTTGGTTACGCCTTTAAAACTTTAAGTGCCCATACACTTAACCTAAGAATTATACTCCTAGGAAACTACTTGAGTGATACTCTTCTCTAAATATACAAAAGGGTTTGTAACAAGAATATTCTCTGAAGATTTTTTTAGATATAAAAAACTAAACCTGAATATCCATTAGTAGAGGATTGCTTAAGTAAGTCATCATACTGGGTATCCACACAGCATGGCCCTAAAACCAATGAGATAGGTATTTGTGTATGGGTATGGGAAGCACCTGAGATACATTTCTAAGGAAACAAAAATGCAGAACAGTGTGTTTGGTATGATCTCATTTGTGTATACCTTTAAATAGAAGCATGCATATAAAACATATAGGCACATGCATAAAACTTTTTAGAGAAAGACAGTCATATAACTGTTAACATTTGGAGACAGGAACTGGTGTTTAGTTTAGGGTGAGAGATGAGAAGGGAGCCATTTAGTTTCCATTTTATATCTTTTTACTACCATCTAAAATTTGTTTTACCAAATGCCTATATGACTTTCTTCAAGGCTTAAAATTTTTTAATTAATATAAAGGACACAGTACAGGCAGAAATACTCCTGAGAGATATATACATTTTTCCCTTTTTACAACTTCTTGTTAAAATCCCATTCAGAGCATCAGAAACTCAGAAGTGAGGTAGGTTCTGGCTAACATTTTTATTACTGTTAATGGCAATATTGTAGAAGATGTTACTATCTGGAAATCAAAAAGTCCAGTAAAGAACCACTTGAAATACTGCATGGGAGAGGGCTGCAGGGGCCTCCCAAGAAATGAAACATGGGGGCCCTGAATCTTTTTACCATCTACTACTATTCCCCATGCATCCCCTCTAAGGGCTTAGATGAATCTTTAATCATATAACAGCAAAGCATAAAAAATAGCCATATCAGATTTTTAGCAAACATGGTCCTGATTCCATATGCCCATAGGTTAGCTTCTGAAATAGCTCTAAAACTATCATCAACCTGGTCTGGCATGTGAAAACTGCTGTATCTACAGTTTTAGTGTCTGTAAGCAGCTCTAGGGCTATAAATGGTGTCCAGGGCTACCCCACAAAAAGATGCAGGTGACTCATGATTATTGCTAGTGGGTGTGTTCACTGAAGGTCAAGCTTTGGTAAAGCCTGTTTGAAAGGCAACCTCACAGCTATGTCAATATGAGGAAATCTCTACTCTCGTTTGACACTCGGTTTTATTCCACTTTTAGTTGTCAGCACTGGGCATACATATTTGGCCTAAACTATCTGTACCAGCAATGCCTTTCTCCAAGATTCATATAGGATTCACTTACATATCCAAGCCCTGCTTCTCATATACTGTACCCCATAATCTTATCTTAATGCCTGTCGTTGACCTCTGGCTTCCATCATCAAATAAAGAAGCTGGTTTTCTTACAGGAAACAGATCACCGTGATGTAGACGTGTTTCTTCTTTTGGAAAGTGAAAGTTAAGTTTTTTCTAGTAGCAAAATTCCAAGCTTCCTAATATTTCAGCAGTTCTTAGAAGCTGTTTGGGAAGTATCACAACAAACTCAAGGGCAGAAGGATCTGACGTCACCGGCCACCGCCGGGTGGAGGTCTGAGCCCTGCCATTTTCCATCTAGTTTACGAGCTTCCACAGAAGCCTACGTGTGGGCACAAACCCAA